TTTTTCGAGTGTAAAACCCCCCCCCCCCCCCCCCCCGATCTCCACACTGCACGCTCCACCAAATTCATTCAAGTGCTTAGCATTCCCCTCCATGGACCTCACACTTCCAGATCACGTCACGCTCGTTGGCTCTGCAGCGGGAATTTGTTTGGCTCCTCATCATTGGTGGTCTCATAATGATCCCCGACATGTAAACGTTTCATTTGTATTCAGTAACATTGTTTCCTTTCCTGATCTCCTCGCAGTCTGTCACCTGCTTTCCGAAGGCCTACCCCCACTTCCTGTCCCTGGGTGACACCCATCCACTAGCAGGACCAGTGGTGTCACCCTGTGGGGTGGGGTGGCTCGTTTAGAAAGGGTTGCTGCTTCCCAAGATAAGGTGAAGCACTCCTGGCGCTATGCATGCTGGGAACAGTAGTTCTATCGCCAGCGTCACGTGATAAGTAATGGCGCAGCTGCTGAACATGCACCGGGGGCCCTTGGTTCAATTCCCAAGCAGGATGCTACCTGCATGGAGTTTGCATTGTTCTGCGGCTGTTGGTTTCCTTTAAAAGCAGGGGTGGGCAACACTATCCCACCCAGCTGTAGAGGAACTACAAGTCCCATGAGGCATTGCAAGACTGACAGTTACACACATGAGGCAGAAGCATATTGGGATTTGTAGTCAAAGCAATTGGCACTCCAGTCCCATGAGGCATTGCAAGGCATGATAGGATTTGTAGTTTCGCCACAGCTGAGGCTGCCTACTCCTGCCCTAGTATGTGCCTTAGATTGTAAACTCCTCCAGGGCAAAGGCTGATGTGACCTGTAATAAACCATTCTGAAGTGTATCTGACTCCAGGTAATGCAGAGTTCGTTCCCTCTTCGTCCCCCTCTTCTCCCCTCTTCGTCCCCCTCTTCTCCCCTGTTCGTCCCCCTCTTCTCCCCTCTCCATTGTAGGACATTTACAAATATGAAAATATTTTATTATTTCATTTTCCAAGTCACAATTTTTATATTAACTAGCGGTCAGCGGCGACAGGAAATGCAAAAACTTTGTTACAGCTTCCTAAAAGTAAACATTGTATGTGACACGGAGGGGGCGCCCCCTGGTGGACAGCACGCCTTATAACACCTTCTACCAAAAGGGAATTTGCAAACCGGCAGAATACTTTTTAAAAGGAGAACTATGGGGTCAGGGCTTTTCCCCATAGTTCTCCTTAGGGTAACGGGAGGACACAAACTAGCGTCCTCCCATTACCCTAAGCTCACTATACCGCGAGCTACAGCTGACAGGCTGCTTGCGGGACAACAAGGATTTTCAGGAAATGATCTGCAATGGCAGCCTACACCATCCTCAGTACTGGTGTCCTATATACACTGCTTTTCAATGAACAGCAACATGAATGACCAAGACATGGGGACAAGATTACCAAAAATGTGTTTAACAGGCACGAGGAAGGGGCTGTATTGTACAAGAGGCTAAAATTTCAAATTCAGGGACAAATCTTTAAAACCCGAGACTATAAATTAGGGATAGTTGGCAAAATAGAACACAATACAGGGGTGGGCAACTCCAGCTAATTATTACTTCCCGTGTTGAGACACAGGACGCAACCAAAATAGCATACACACTAGACACACAATTCACAGGGTAGATGCCACCAGCTGCAGTATGTCAGCTGACTGGTCTGCTACACCACCATTTGCACCAGGGGGTGAGCTCTGTGACTGATCGTTTCCTCTAGGACACCGGGCCTCTCACACATGTACATAGCACATCATTAAATAGGCACTTTTCTCAGAGGCAGCCATTAATCATGGGGTATCCCACCATCAGCTGCTGGAGGTCTCCAATCAGACGGCAGTGTGCTAAATCGATCTCTGATGTGCACCGGCATCGTCCCACTCATCACAGCCAATCAGAAGCCAAGGAAACTATCCAGTCGTTTGCAGCAAATTGTGCAGCTTGATGGAAAACTGTCCACATAACCCCAGTGATGGTCCCTCATGTGTGCCGAGTCCTGGGGGGCTTGGAATCTGCAGCTTGCTGATGTTTTTTCTTGTTCAGCTCCCGGTAGGCTTTGATGACGCGTTCCCGTTCCTCCTCTATGATTCTCTTCCTGGCCATGGACACAGGAGGGGCACTCGCTGGCTTGCTTCCTTGGTCGAAGAATTTTTTCAGGAAAAGCTGTTTTTCTCCCGGCTACAAAAAAAACAAAAACATGTTTCTTAGATTTAAATATCACATGAATGCCGGCGCTTTAACCCCTTCGTGACTGACTACGTACAGTGTACGTCGCTAAGGAAGGAATTTCTCCTACAAGACAACGAGATTCAGCAAAAGAAGTGATTGTGACATCACCAGTGACCTGGAAAGATGTAAAGTTCATGTCGGTCACATGACCCCATCATGACGACACCACCACCACATTATCCTGCTGAAAGAGGCCACTGCCATCAGGGAATACCGTCTCCATGAAGGGGGGACTTGGTCAGTGACAATGTTTAGCTCGGTGGTTCGTGTCAAAGTGACATCCACATGAATGGCAGGACCCGAGGGTTTCCCAGCAGAACATTGCCCAAAGCACCACACTGATCTCCCCCGGCTTGTCTTCTTCCCGTAGTGCATCCTGGTGTCATCTATTCCCCAGGTAAGTGACACACACACCCGGCCATCCACATGATACATCAGACCAGGCCACCTTCTTCCATTGCTCCGTGGTCCAGTTCTGATGCTCATGTGCCCTATGTAGGCACTTTTGGTGGTGGACACGGGTCAGCATGGACACCCTGACCGGTCTGTGACTACGCAGCCCCATACACAACAACCTGCGATGCTCTGTGTGTTCAGACTCCTTTCTATCAGAACCAACATTCACTTTATGAGCAATTTGAGCTCCAGCATCTCTTCTATTGGATCGGACTACACGGGCCGAACTTTCCCCCCACGTCCATCAATGAGCCTTGCCTGACCATGACCCAGTCACCAGTTTTCCTTCCTTGGACCACTTTTGGTCGGTCCTGACCACTGCAGAGCGGGAACATCCCACAAGAGCTGCAGTTTTGGAGTTGCTCTGACTCGTCGTCTAGAATCACAATTTGGTCCCTCAAATCCTCACACTTGTCCATTATTTCTGCTTCCAACACATCAACTTCAGGGACAAAATGTTCACTTCCTGCCCAATAAATCCTCCCCCCCACTTCCAGGTGCCATTGTAATATCCCCCCACTTCCAGGTGGTCTATGTGGTCACAATGTTATGGCTGATCGGTGTGTACACACACACACGGAATATGTTCTGTACTATTTACCTTTGTTTGCGCTGCACCTTTTCTTGGCTTTACTGTGAGAGACGGGGGCTCCATCGCTACTTCACCGAACATCACTGTATCTGTGCAATAATCAAATTGAGTCATTCATTATCCTCACCAGTCATGAGGATAAATGAAGGCAGCTACCTCCTTCAGAAAACACCACTTCTATGGCCGTCATCCTAAACCAAAGGCTTTTGTACTTTCTAAGTCATTGAAATGGAATGAGCATGCAGGCTGGAGCCTGTTAGCAGTCAGCCCTATTAAAAGGCTTCTCCGAACACACAGCAAGGAACATGTTAGCAGTGGCTGTCAGATTAAGCTTAGCAAAATAAAAAACAAATCAAACATTCAGATCAAGTTATACAAAGCCTCAGTGAGCTGGACTTGGGCAGTACCCAGAACACAAAACAAGGGGTTCCGAGTGATCTGCGCAGCGGCCATTTTTATTTTGCTTGATGCCGAGACACAGTGGGGGGGAGGTGGAGGCAGGGTCTTCAGCTGCCATTGCCGGTCTGGCCTTCTGGTTTGTCTCCTTTGGTGGGAAGGAGAGGGGTCTACCACCATGACAAACCTTCTCGGAATGTATTTATACCTTTATATGCCCCAGTATAGGAGCTCTGCTAGGCTAGAGGCACTTCAGAGGATCCTTGCAGTTGCTTCATATGTATAAGCAACACAAACCTGGTTTGTGATTGGAATTTTGTTTTTGTGGTGTCCAGCTGATGCGTGCTGGGACAGGTTTGGGGAGTCTTTACCTCAGGGATAGCAAACCTCCAGCCCGCCAGCTGTGGTGAAACTACAAATCCCATGATGCATCTCTCTTCTGGAGTCATGTCCGTGGCTGTGAGAATCTTGCAACGCCTCATAGGATTTGTAGTTCCACCACAGCTGGAGGGCCGGAGGTTTGCTACCCCTGCTTTACCTGATCAAAAAGTTCACTTTTTCTTTACCATTTTTTCAGTAATGGGAACGATATATTATATATAAACTTTACCTTTGAAAAATTCTTCTTCCAGACGAGCCACTTTTTTATCTTCTCTCTTCTTAACGAATTTATCCAAACACTTCCGATCATACCTGGAATGCAGACAGCAGGTTTTATGACTGGTTAGCACTTCCATGCATTAGAAATGGGGTAGGCAACTTCCGCCGCTGTGGAACTACAAGTCCCACGAAGCATTGCAAGCATGGCTCCCAGAGTTAAGAGGGATGTTGGGATTTGTAGTTAAAGCACAGCTGGAGGGTCGGAGTGGCCCGCCCCTGCATTAGACCCTTAGAATGAGCCGATTAGCACTCGGAATCTTTTGTCTTCGGCACCAGGAATCAATAAGAACGCACTGCGACAGACCTTGAATCCTCTCCGGACTCTGCATATAGCGTCCATGTGCATATACCAGAATATCACCAGATATAACAAAGTATACATCAGCTGCTTAAAGAAGAACTCCGGGTAAAATGACTGACATATGACAAAGTCTGTCTGTAGCATTGAAGGCCAAGTTACGGTTCTGACCATGTTACCTATATTTAGGGTGTAGGATGACGCATGGTCAGAATGCAGTAAGCAATCTGAGACTGGAGGGACTCATAACCAACCCAGAGCGCTCCTACTTGCTTCTCTGCCCAGCATAGTCACTGGTTTGCTTCAACTTCCCCATACATATGAAGAGGGAGGGGGAACTTCACTAGCTTCCAGCTAACAGCTAAAACTGGAACTTCTGTTAGTGGACTGAACCTTTAACAATGAAAACAAAGACAGGTTCTGGCCAAATATTAGGGTGACATACTCCTTCCTCTTTTCAGACTTCTGCTTCTTGGTGACCTTCAGCTCCTCCTCCTCCTCCTCTTCCTTCTCCGGAAGCTTCCCCTTGTCGTCCAGCTCCATCTCAGGACAGCGGTCCACCTGGTTCTTGGTGAGGAAGATCACATGCTGCGTTTCCCGGTTCATGCGGTTGAAGTAACCGCCAACCGACTCGTTTCTTTCCCTCTTGAACTTGGGCACCGGAATGTCCGTCTGCAACTCCTCATTTCGCGGCCCTTGTCTCGGCACTGAAAGCAATGAAAGGCGCACGGTCAGCTCAGAAGAAGCTGGATTGTATATGTAGTCTTCTGAAAGCCTTAGGCCCTGTTCACACCTTTACGTTTTGTCGCGCGTTCAACACTCTATGAACACTCTACAAAACGTACAAACTTGAAAATCCCATTGTTTTCTATGGGTATGGTTCACACCTTTCCGTATTTCAGCCCGTCTGAACGCGCTACAAAAACAGCCTTTTACCGAGAATCGCGGTAGAAAAGCGTGACAAACGCGCATATTCAATACGCCTTGGTGTGAACCCAGCCTTATGTGGCCCGAACACCAACTGCACCATTGTAAAACCTCTATGGTAAGTACTTGAAACTTGACAAAGCCCCGTGGTATGACCATGCATGCCCAGCTATACCACATGACGAAAGCCCTGTCAGGTGACAAATACCTTCTAGAGACTTCTGGCGTGCCTGTGAGTGCACCATCATGCAACAGGTCTCTATGACAAGTATTGAGGACATGACAGAGCTCTACAGTGTGTCTGCGCATATCTCTTGCTCGCGCAGACATGCCACAGGGCTCCGCCGAATCAGCTGCAGGGTCGGGGCGGGATGCTTTTGTAGGTAGGGTGAAGCTCCTCCAAGTGTCGCTTTAGGTATTGCTGTACCTTCTTTAACATTCATACTTTTGTCCAGGCCGGATGTTAGAGGCCTCTATACATCCTGAGCTGTGACAGGGAAGCCGCGTTGTGGTTTATTTGCCCTTCTCTTCTTCATAATTCACAGAAGGCCTTGCATTCTATGAATGGGCAAGGGGGAGGAGCAGACAAATTAAAGTATGCTTTGGGCTAATGGGAGTCGCAGCATTGGAAGTATAGCGAGACCTGTGACTTCCAGCCTGAATAGTAAAGCCCAGCTCTGGCCATGAGAACAGTTTCAGATATAAAGTTAGTACCGGGGATTAGGCCAACCTTCGCGGGTCAGACGTCTACAGCATGTTCAAAACAAGTTTCTTCCTTCACCCGACGTATGGCACTCCTGCTGTACAAGAAGGTGCTACGGGGGTCTCATCAACCTCAGAGCTGCGGTCAAACCCCCCCCCCTCCTCTTGGCCAATCAGAAAGCAATTGGCTCCAACACAGGCTCCATTTTGTGACTGGCTAAGAGAAGAGAGGGTCAGCGATGTAGCCAAAGGACTGGGGTCAACGAGACCTACAGCACCTGCCTCCCGAGTGGCCTTGACGTACAGCAGGAGCAGTACAAGTTGGGAGAGAGAAAAGAAACTTGGTGCTGGAGGTAGCCTGGGTGATGGGACTGGTGAGGGTCTAATTCCCAGGACTCATGATAGATCTATATTCTGTCCTCCTGCCCGGAGAAAGTACAGCAATACTCAAAGCTTCATACACATCCGGACACTCAGCTTGTTTTTACACTGCAGGTTTAAAGCAGAACTCTGGGCAAAACTGTTCTTACCCCTTGAAGTGCTGCTTCCTCCTCCCCCCTCTCCCCCCGGCACTGCAAGAGTTAAGTGGTCGTTTTTTGTCTAGGTGCTAAAATAAAAAGAAGGTTATACTCACCCGATCCTAGGAGCTGCCTTGCTCAGAACAGTCCCTGGAGCTTCTCTACCCGTCCTCGCCAGTGGTCTAAGGTGCCCTAAATCATCACAGTGTATAGGATGTGAGCACACTGAGGGACATTCCATCACCACAGCAGAGGACAAA